TATTAACCCACAGTGCCACATCAGGACTCTGTTATTGTTCATGTTGTTGTTGTTAGGTGCCATCAAGTCGGTGCCGATTCATAGCAACCTTATGCACAGCAGAACGAAACACTGCCCAATCCTGGGCCAACCTCACTACTGTTGCCACGCTTGAGTCCATCGATGCTGCCACTTGGCCAATCCATCTCGTTGGGGGTCTTCCTCTCGGTGCTATCAAATCCATTCCAACTCATAGTGCCCCCACATACCTAATGCTGCACCAGCCTCACAGATGTCACTGTTTGAGCCCATCATTGCAGCCACTACAGAGATACTGAAGTCCAGGCATTGAACAATCACTGATTGTGGGTTTATGCTGTGTAAAGCCTGCAGAACAGCTGTCATCAGGACAGATGAACAGCCTGCTCTCATGCAACTGACATTCTCATGGGGAAATACACAGACAACATAGGTGGACGAATCAGTGAACAAGCTATTCCAGATAACGATAAATGGAGAAATAAACAGAAGAGAACAACGGGGGCCACTTTGACAGGGTGCCAGAACAGACTCACCAAGGAGGTGACCTTTGAACCAAGAGCGGAATGACAATTAGATGGCAGAAGGAGAGAGCAGAGCCCAGGGGCAGGATGATGTCAATGACCTGGTGAGTTGACCCTGACCAGGAAGAGAGTGAGAGTGAAGGATGGAGAAGGATGAAGGTGCCAGTTGAGAAGTTTGGAGATGAGTGGAATGAGGGAGAAAAGGTACCTGGCAGCCCCAGTTCTGACTGAAGTTGCATCTCCTGAGAGAGACATCTGTGGCTGAGCAGAGCTGGGGATCGAATGACCGTTCCACTACCCAGCTTCCCACCCCTTCTTCAGAAGATGGATGCCCAGTAATGCCCCAAGGCCCTTGGCTGGCAAAGGGGAATCTCATGAAGTATGCACAGACAGTGGTGAACTGATGCCTAAAGAAAAGAAACAGAGCCAGACCACAGATTCATGATTCCATTTATAGGAAGCATCCAGAATAGACAGACCCCTAGAGACAGAAAGTAGATTAGTGGTTGGCAGGGGCTTGGGGGAGTGAGGGTTGGGCAGTGGCTGCCTAATTAATGGGTTCAGGCTTCCATTCAGGGTGATGGGAAAGTTCTGGAACTAGACAATGAGGATGGTTGCACAAAACTGTGAACGTACTTCATGCCCCTAAATGATCCACTTTAAAATGGTAACAAGGGTAAACTTTATCTTCCACATATTTTACCACAGGGGAGAAAAAGAAAGAAATGTTAATATGTGTACGTTTTCTGGACCTTGCGCATCACTGAAATATGCTGTAGGAAATGGAAACCATGGAATTCTTTTTTAAAATCCATAGTCCATCTACTGTAAGATAATCATTACACGTTTTATGCAGATGTCATGCAGATACGTACATGTAGTTATGTTGTTGCTGTTAAGTGCCATCGAGTCAGTTCCAACTCAAAGGGATCCTGTTTAGGGCTTGTGGGGCTTTTTAAGTCTTTGTGGGAGCAGAAAGTGTTTTCCTCCCATGGAGTGACTGATGGGCTTGAATCACCAACCTTGTGTTTCAAAGTCCAGTGCTTATGGTATAGAGCCAACACTCTATACAATATGTAGTTATATTGTTGTTATTCAGTGCCATGTTGTCGAGTTGTTTCCAACTCATAGCAACCCAGTATCGGGTTTCTGAAGAGCGGTTGATGGGTTTGAACCACCAACCTTGCAGTTCAAACTGACCTTGCAGTTGAACGCTTATCCTACAGCACCACACCAGGACTCCATATATGTAGTTATAGATTATAAAAATGTAAAGTTGAGTGTCCCATGCCATAACCTGCTCCTTTCACTTGACAACTTATCACGAAAACCTTCCTATGTTTTCTCTAACGGCATTTACTGTTGTTGTTAGTTGCCAGTGAATCAGCTCTGACTCATGACAATATCATATACAGGCAGTCCTCGGAGATGTTGCGGGCTGGGTTCCAGATTGGCACAATAAAGTGAGTCACACATATTTGGTGGTTTCCCATTGCAAATAAAAGTGATGTTGTTACTAGACTGTCGTCTAAGAAATGTTCAATAGCAGGATGAAAAAGTTGAAAATATTGTGAGAATGACCAGCACGGGACACAGAGACACGGAGGGAGCACAGGCTGTTGAGAACGTGGTCCTCAGAGATTTGCTAGATGCAGGGTGATCACAGACCTTCAGTTTTATCTATGACGGGCAGTGAATTAGACTGCAATCAAATGAGCTATGGTTCTGCAACAGAATAAATTGCCATCCTCAAGACACTGGCTTGCTTCTTTCCATTGTTTCCGTCCAGCACTTTATTGAACTATATTATGTTGCAATCTATAGAGTTTCTATTGGCTAATTTTCTGAGTTATTCAATCTGTACGCTGAGCGAATAATCCAAGAGGCTGGGTCATATGAGAACATGGCATCAGGATTGGAGAAAGGCTCATTAACAGCCTGTGTTATGTAGATGCTACAACCTTGCTTGCTGAAAGCAAAGAGGACTTAAAATACTTACTGATGAAGATTAAAGGCCACAGCCTTTAATGTAAAGAAAACAAAATTCCTCACCCCTGAAGCTATAAATAGCATCATAATGGAGAAAAGATTGAAGTTGTTAAAGACTTCTTTTTGCTTGGATCAATCATCAATACTCATGGAAGTAGCAGTCAAGAAATCAAAGGATATATTGCACTGGGCAAATCTACTGTACAAGACCTCTTTAAAGTGTTGAAAAGCAAAGATGTCAGTTTGAGGACTAAGGTGCACCTGACCCAAACCATGGTATTTTCAGTAGCCTCATATGCCTGTGAAAGTTGGACAATGAATTAGAAAGACCATAGATGAATCGATGCTTTTGAGTTATGGTGTTGAAGAAGAATATTAAAAGTACCATAGACAAACAAATCTGTGTTGGAAGAAGCACAACCAGAATGCTCCTTAGAATTCAATATAGTTAGGTTTTGTCTCTCATATTTTGGACATATTGTCAGGAAGGACCAGTCCCTGGAGAAGGACATCATGCTTGATAAAGTGGAGAGTCAGTGAAAAAGAGGGAGACCTCTGAACAAAATCTATTGGCATGGTGGCAGCAGCAATGAACTCATGTGTAGCAGCAATTGTGAGGTTGACTCAGGACCAGACGGTATTTCATTCTGTTGTACATGGGGTCATTATGGGTTGGAACTGACTCAACGGCACCTAACAATACCAATTTTCTGAATAGATCAGCAGGTTTTCTTAATCTGTCTTAGTCTAGAAGCTCTGCTGAAACATGTCCACTTATATTTGAAGTAACTGGCTTCCAGCATCATAGCAACACACAAGCCACCACAGTATAACAAAAAGATGGGTGATGGATGACAGCTTTACGAACTGCAATTTACATACTATATAACTTGCCTGTTTCAAGTGTACTGATCAATGGTTTCTCCGTATATTTACAGAGTTATGCAACCATTATCATAATCATCTTGAGAACATGTTCGTCAACTCCCAAAGAAACCCTGCACCCCTTCGCTAGAATTCCCCACTTCATATTTTAAAGTACAGGTCAGGAGCACTTCTCATTGGCCCATATAATGCCACATTGCGTTCGATCATAAACTCCATCCGTTGCAAGATGCATCAGTTGCAAGAAAAACAGTAGCAGTGACCAATGTATAGAAAAACTTGAGAAACTGTTCACTACAGATTAGTAAGTAAGCACAAGTAAGTCCATGCTTACTTTGCTAACAGGGTGCTCCATCCTTTTCAGGGATTATAAATTTGAATAGAGGCTTTGATTCTGTAGGAAGGTGCTGTGCGGTTGGGAGAGAGACAGATGCCAGCCAGATCTAGAAGCAGACTCTTGGATGTGGTGAAAAAAATGTGAAATCATTTACTACAGGTTAGCATGTCAGCATGAGGAAGCATGTGCTTACCTTGCTCAATGGGTCATCTAACACACTACCCTCCAGAAATGTTGAGCCCATTTGTGCACTGGGTGAAACTGTTTCCAGTGGCCATGTGAACATCTCTGGGAGTTCATGCAAAGTCGAAACCAACAAAAGTCTGGAGGGAGAACTGAGGGACATCAAAATTCAGGGCCAAGCGTGCACCCCAGGGCTTTTTTGTGGAGCCAGAATGTTCTCTGTGGGATCTCAGTGAACAGTGTAGTAGAAAGGAGCATAGTGTTGTAATAAATAGTAACTAGCAATTACTGAATGCCTGGCATGTTTTGAAGATCTTCAGTTGCATTGATTCATTTGACCCTCACGATATTAATTAGAAGGGCTGTCTTGGCTTGTGTTCTGACTCTGTGACTTTGGGCAAGTCACCTCCCCTCTAGCAGTTGCAGTTTCCTTATGTGTAAAATGAAGATACTAACCACGTGTATTCGTTTTCTAGGGCTCCCGTAAGACAGGACCACAACTCATGTGACTTAAAACCACAGAATTGTTTGTCTCAGGACTCTGGAGGTTAGAAGTCCAAAATCAAGGTGTCATTGGGATCAGGCTTTTCCTGAAGCCTCTAATGGAAGATCTTTCTTTGTGTCTTCCAGCTGCTAGTGGTTGCTAGTGATTCCTGGTGTTCTTGACTTGGAGACACATCACTCCAATCTCTGCTTCTGTATTCACATAACCATCTTCCTTCTATGTGTCTCTTCTACTCTTTTTTTTTTTTTTTTCTCTTCTACTCTTTTGATAAGGACACCAGTCCCACTGGATTAGAACTCACCTAACTCCAATATGACCTCATGTCAACTAATTACATCCACAAAGACTCTGTTTCCACATTCCCAGTACTGGGAGTTAGGAGGACACAGTTCAACCTACATAGCCTTGACGACCTTGTAGGGCTGTTACCAGGTTTAAAAGGGTTGGATGTGGATAAGCTCATACAGTGGTGCTCAATAAGTGCTCCCTGCAGAAAGGGCAGGAGGTGAGTAGTTCCCCATGACCCAGACCCCTGTCATTTATGGACCCCTCCTCACAGGTGGACGAAATCCTGGGGGACCAGCTGACAGCCAAGGAGCAGGTATTTGCAGCACTAAAGCAGTTTGCGGCCGAGCAGAGGGTGGACGATCTGGTCTGGGCACTCACCCTGGTGCTGCCCCTCGAGGCCCGTGGACCACTCCTGGACAACCTCAGGTACCTCCATCTTGGATAGGTCTGCTCACTCAGAGATGCCAGGGCAGGTTTTTGACTTGCTCTGGAACTGGACCCCTAACACCCATTCAGTCCCAGAATAAGGGTGAGACAGTGTCCCTGAGGAATCCCTGGGTGGTGCAAATGGTGAATGAGTCCTGTTGCTAACCAAAAGGCTAGAGTGTGTGTGTGTGTGTGTGTGTGTGTGTGTGTGTGGTGGGGGGTCTACTCAGGCACTTCAGAAGAAGGGTCTGGCATCCGGCTTCTGAACAAAACAGCCACAGAAAATCCTATGGACCCATAGTTCAACTTTCAGTCAAGCAAGGGGCAGAACTATAAGGTGAGCAGTAACACCAGGGAGGTCCACACTCCTTAGAACAGTCAACCATATGAGATCAAAAAGGCAGCATGTTCCCAGGGGTACCGCTCAGGAGGCAGGAAGGGGTAGGAAAGAAGAACGGAAGGAAATGGGAAACACAGGGAGGAAGAGGAAAGTGTGCTGTCACATGGTGAGGACTGCAATCAATGACATAAAACAAAATGTGTATGAATGGGTGACTGGACAAGAAAACCCTGTGGAACCCAGTTCTACTCTGACATACATGACATGTGTTGGATTCAACTTGAGTGTCCCTGAAGGTCAACCCTGAGAAGAACAGCTGTTGGCTTATGGTGTGCCAGAATGTCACCTTGAATGAGAATGAAGACGGTCATAAAGAAAAGTCTGCTTTGTTGCATTCTAAAGCTCTGGTCAGAAAAATCTCAACCAGGACACCAAGATCCTTCTCTGAGTCCAAGCAGTGGTGCCTTGTGAAGCTGAGGAAGATGAATGCTGTGCCATTTGGGTCCCCAACACCACACTGTACAAACAGTGTGTAGTCTCTGCCCTGGGTGATGCCTACGGTGTAGAATCAAGGCCTCCCCAGACTCTAGAGGAGCACTCTACAGGGAATCCCCTAACACTATTATTGTACCCATTTCACAGGAGAAAACCGAGACTCAGAGAGGTTGAGCAGCTGGCCCAAAGTCACACACTCATAATGCCTGGGGTCTGAAACGCTTGCAAAAGGTCATCCAAGGCACAACAATTGGTTTGTATTTGCTTGGAGCAACAGAAGAAGAGAGTGGGGAATAATAGGAGGATATGGAATGTGTTCGTTTCTCCTGCTTCAGAAATATTATCAGGAGGGACCAGTCCCTGGAGAAGGACATCATACTGGTAAAGTGGAGGGTCAGTGAAAGAGAGGAAGACCCAGTGGAAGCAGCAATGGGCTCAAGCATAGCAATGATTGTAAAGTTGGCACAGGACCGGTCATGTTTTGTTCTGTTGTGCATAAGGTCACTATGAGTCGGAGCTGACTTGATGGCACCTAACAATAACAACAAACTGTGTGGCTCATTGCCTCCATGAACAACTACCACCTTTGCCATGAGACCAGAGGAACTAGATGGTGCCCTGCTACCATGACTGGACATTTTGATACAAGATTCTATAGAAAAATCCTGACTGAAAGGGGGGAAATGCAGAACAGAATTTCACATTTTCATGAACTCCACACTTCCTGGAGCCATGGGGGCTGGCTGAACTCCTGAAACTATTGCCCTGAGATCATCTTTAAGCCAAAAATATCTCCTGAATTCTTCTTTAAAACAAATTAATTGTCTAGCTTAGCTAGTAAGAAATACTCTGCCTTGAATATTATGCTCTTTGAAGAAGTATTTATATGCAATCAGACTGATAACAGTTAACTGGGAAGTTTAGCTAGGAAGCTTAAGAGCAGTGAGTTTCTGTGAATTGGGGAGGCTCAACTCAGAAAAGAAAGATGCAAATGATTGCACATCTCCATGACCGTAATCAAGGGCACGGAATTGTACAGGGAGAAACTGGTGTGTGTTTAAGTATATTCTCAACAGCAACAACAGTAACAAAAGTCACACAGCTGAAGCAAGTCACCCTGCTTCTAAGACTGTGGTTTGAGGCTATTATTCTGCTCACTTTGATCCCTTTAAGTTTAGTTGTCAAATCAAAAAACAAAACCCTAATAGGTCCTCACGCGGTGGTCCAGGAAAGCCCCGTTCCCCTCCCTATCGTGCGCAGCTAGCATCCGGAGCCTGCGGGACTTGCTCCCCCTTTTCTGCCTGGTGCAGCCCGCCCCCTCCCCTCGCTGCCATTCACCCCGACGCCTGCCCCTCCCTCTGGGCCTGGCCAATGTCGGGGACCCAGCAGGCCACCCTCCCTGCCCCACCCCCATCCCAGCCCAACCGCGGCAGTCTCTGCAGCCGAGTAGCCCTCCGAGGCCACGGACGAGGCCACCATGAGCTGTCTGGGGTGAGTAAGGGGCCGGCCCCCGGCTGGGAGATGAGAAAGGAGCTAGAAAAGTTCCTTTAGAGCGCTAGTGCGGCCGCGGCAGCGAGGCGATCGGCGCTCAGGGCTCCTGGGGCGGATATCAACGAACAGTTCCCTATCGCCCTCCTCAGGGCTCCAGGGGCTCCAGACTTGGGACTTCCCTGGGAGCCGCTCGTCTCCCTTTCTTCCCCTGCCCCCCAGACTTCCAGTCCCCGCAGCTGCTCCCGGGCCAGCCTCCCGGGACAGCACCATTCCTGCATCTCCCGGTCACAGTGTGTCCCCAAGTGGCGGGCAGCTCCGCGACGCGGGCAGGACGGGCGGTGGGCGGCCGCCCCCGGACGCACCCGTTTCCAACCAGGAAGCGTCTACCCTGAACACCTGGGGATATCGGGGATGCTGCGGGAGGATGGAACAGCAGCCTTGCTGTCAGCTCGTGTCAAGCGCGACAGGAAAATTGGGGAGGCTGCCTGAGGAGGGGGCGGCGCCCAGCTGGGCTCTGCGGGGGGGAGGGTTCCCCTGGCACCGGGTCTCAGCCACTCTGCCGCCCCCTCCCCTATCCCAGGCTGGCGAGGGGCCCCACCGTGTGCTGGGCGCTGGGGATGGGGCATGGAGGAGTCACAGATGCGTCAGCTGTGATTCCAGGGGCCCAGCGCCAGCTGAGGAACAGCTAGGGCTACCTCTGTGGGGCAGTCAGAACTGACTTCCGGTAAGCTGTGGCTCATACAGTGGCCGGTGAGGTCTGGGGGATGAGAACAGACGGGTGGCCTGTGGAAGTCAGGGGTGAGTCCCCAAGGAGAGTCCCTCAGGCTGGGTGTCAAGCGAAAGAGGCACCCCTGTGTGGACAAGCCTGCGGTACCCCACATTGCCCTATACAGGGTATTGGTCCTGAAGAGTGACAGCTCTGTCCCTGAAACCTCCCTCCCCAGCAATCTCAGAAACCAAAACCAAGCCGGCCACCAAGTCAGTTCCATAGTGTCCCTGTAGGACAGAGTACAACTGCCCACTGAGGTTTGTTGTTAGACCCCAACTTATAGTGACCCTAGGCACAACAGAATGAAACACTGCTCACAGTCCTGTGCTAAGCTCACAATTGTTGTGTTTGAGCCCTTATGGATGTAGACTGCCTCATCTTTCTCCTACAGAGTGGCTGGTGGGTTTGAACAGCCAACCTCCTGTTAGCAACTGAGCACTTAATCACTGTGCCACCAGGGCTCCTCAGTCTCAGAGAGATAAGGTTTAAAAGAAGTTGAGAAGAAATTTCCAGATGTTAGAACTTAGCACAGATGCCACTCTTCCCCGCCTCATCCACCCTCCCCAGAAATCACAGTGTGGCCTCTTTGAAGGTGGCTCTGGGGGAGGGGAAGGAGCCATGAGGCCCGAAAGCTACAGTGTCCAGCATGATGGCCGCTGGCCATATGTGGCTATTGAAAATGAAATGTAAATAAATGAATATGAAATAAAATTGCAGATCCCATTTCTGAGTCTCACTAGCCACACTGCAAGTGCTCAGTAGTCACATGTGAATAGTGGCCACGTTATTGGACATTACCTCCATCCCAGCAGGAAGTTCTCTTGGATGGTGCTGTCAGGCAGGGTGGTCCAAATTCATAACATAACGTAGAACTGCTCCATAGGGTTTCTGAAGCTGTACATCTCTATGGAAGCAGACTGTCTCATGGTGGGTTCCAACCACCCACTCTTGGGTTAGCAGACCAATATTTAACCCGCTGCAACACCAGGACTCCCTAGATTTAGGTCAGGGGAGATCAAACGGAGCTGTGACTGGCAATGGCAATGTAAACGCGGAGGCTCAGCTTCCTTTCAACAGCAGTGAGTCCCGCGGCTCGGTGTCTAATTTGGGTCTGTCCCCAAAGGGATCCCAGTTTGATGAAGTGATAAAATGGCTTTCTAATTAGGGCAGGCCAGGCTGTTTGGAAAGCGTGGCTGGGTCAGGAGAGAACAGAAAGCAACGTCAGCTTTGTGATCCATGCATGCATGGGGATCTCAGGAAATACACAAGGAGGAGCAGGGGCAGGTAGGGCAGTGAGGGTAGCAACTGGGGTGCTGGAAGGGGCTGGGGCTTGGAAGCCAGTAGCCTTTACTTTGAACCCCAGACCATTCACGGGCTTCGTGACTTGAACAGATTGACTGGTCTCTACAGTTATCTGCAAAATGGGGTTATGGGTCCTTCTGTGTTCCCAGCAGGGTCCTTGGTAGGAAATGATATCAATGAACTATGCCAACTGTAAGCAACACAGAGATTAGTTAAAAATCGAGAGGTGGGGCTTGGGGGAACACATTAATTAGAGCATTAATGAAAGTATTTGAGACAGACTTATGGGGAGAATGTTATGCAACCACATAGGTAAAAGTCCCGAGCATATATTGTCATTATTGTTAGTTGTCATCAAGTCACGGCAACTCTAAGCATGCAGAGCTGAACTACTCCATAGGGTTTTCAAGGTTGAGACTTTTTGGAAGCAGATCACCAGACCTTTCTTCTGAAGTACCTCTTGGTGGTCTGAACCTTTCAGCTGATGAGTGCTAAAATATTTGCCCCACCCAGCTACGTTGACCAGGCATATAGTCTGTGCGCAATTGATGTTGGTTTGCTGAGAACATCTAGAACAAGGGGTCTAAACCCAAAAAAACTCATTGCTGTTGAATCATGTCTGACTCATAACGACCTTATAGGACACTATAAGGTCCCGTAGGGTTTCCAAGGCTGTTAATCTTTACAGAAGCAGGTTGCCACATCTTTCTCTGACCTCTCAGTTAGAAACCAAGCATGTTAACCATTTCACCGTCAGGGTTCCTTTCTGTAAGTACTCCAGCAGCACAATGCTGGCAATTGGGCCAGAGAATGCTGTGTATTGCTGCCTGTTTGGAAGATTCCCTGAACTCTCCCCACTACATGCCAACTGCAGCCCCCTCCTCCAGTTGTGACAATCCAAATCCCCCCTACTTGGTGAAGAGCCACTGCTCTAAAGTGACCTGTCCTGGGAAGTGGCCTCTCCCAGAGGCTGTCTGTGCCCGAGCGGCTTCCATGCTGCCTAGACCCACCTGGCCGGACACAGCCATCCATACCTTCCCGTTGTCCATGGGACTATGCCTGCAGCCGTATGCATGCTGCTCACTGGGGATTGAACCCAGCATGAACGTTTACTGATGCTGGCACCTCATCTGCTTGGGCACAGTGGGCAGCCAGCCTGGGCCACTGCAGCTGGTACAGGCAGCCAGAGAGGGCTCTGTCGTCACACTGGGACGACTGCAGCTCTACGGGTGCCAGGAGTTACACAGGTTCCCCACATTTCTCTTCTTGGCAGCGCTGGCCAGGGAAGGTGGCTCTGAGCATTTGTCTCTGGCTTCTTGCTGTGGCTAGGCAGGAGGTTGGTAGGACTATATATACACAGGGGTGGTGGGCTGAGGGGTGTCAGCAGAATCCCCTTGAGAATGATCTCCAGGCAGAGGTGAGACCCCCAGGTCTCCTGCCTGTCTGGGTGCCTGCCACTTCCTGCTGAGGTCCCACAGAGTAAGCTGAGAGATACATCCTGTTGAGGTAACCCCAAGGAGCCTGCCCCCAGGATGCCTTGGACTTGTTTGTTGTCCTTTGGTCTTCAGACTGAAGACCCCTGCCCACCACAGTGCAGTCAGGACTGGATCATGAGAAATGCGGTGCACAGTGCCCACCTCCTCTCCTGTCCTCCCAGTAGGCCATGCCCCATCCCAGAAGATCATCCCCTCCCCATCCCAACTTACCTGGGGATTGTCTTGCCTGACCCACATCACCACCTCCACTCACTCACCTAAGTTTTGCAAATGTAGATCCAGCTGCGACCTCCTTGCACCATCCCTCCCTTGGTGTACCAAATTCTCTGGAGTCCCCCCACCACTCTTAGATCCTGAACCCCCACATGGCCCTCACTGCTGTCAGAGGCAACCTCAGTCGCTGAACGTGGCACTCAAGGCCCCCTTCCTTCTGCTTGGCACCCCCCTAGCCGGTGCTGCCTCCTACCCACTGTGAGCTGGCAGGGCTCCCTCTCTCGAGGCTCCCAGCTTACAGATCACCCTCTTCGGGAAGGCTTTGGGGCACTGCTGTGGGTATGCAGGATACCAGCGCCAAGGCACGTGGGGAAATAATAGAGGCGGCCAAGGAGAAGGGATGTGACAAAGGGTCCCTCAGGCCCTCTCGCCCCGCCGCCGGGGCGGGGCCACCCGAGAGGGGCGGGCGGGGTGGCGGCGACTCGGGAGGGGCCACCGCGCGCTCACCGGGCAGAGGCGCGTGGAGTCGCTGCGCGCTCGAACCGCTCCCGGCTCGGCCACCCCAGGCCTTTGGCACCTGCCGCGCTGCCGTCCCGGCTCCAGATGGGGAAGGACCAGGGTTTCTCCCGGCACTTTCGGTAGCTTCTCCTCCGCGCCTCGCGCCCTCGGGAACCTTACGACCTGGCTAGTAGAAGTGGGGTGGGACTGAGCCACGGAGGGGCTTCTCTGATCTGCAGGCGAGGGAGCCAACCCAGCCGGCCTGGGCGCTAGTAGGAGAGAAATCAGCTGGGAGGGGATTCGCGCGGGCCTTCAGGAGACGGGTGGGCTATGAAAAACCCCTTCTTCTTCATACATACGACTGGTAAAAGGCAGGAAGGACCGACGACTGAGGCCGGATCTGGTGCTTCTTCTAGGTTGGAGGATTTGTCCTTTCCACTACCCGCTGTCCAGATACCCACACCCTAGGCTGAGGCTAACCCCTGGGCTGGGCATTCTCACCTCCCCTAACAATTGGCCTCTCCGGGGCTGGTTGAGGATCAAGGGAAAGAGAAAGCCAGTGGGAACAGGGAATGGGTACAGAAAGAGGACCCAAAAGAGAGTACCAAGCCCTGACCCAGGCAGAGAGGGGGAGCTGATCCCGTGTGTGCCCCACTCCCATGGAGAGAGGCCTGTGGGTACAGCAGGGACGCCGGAGGCCTGTGGAGCTATTGCCAGGCTGAGTCAGAGAGTGGTAGGTAACAGGGACCCCCTGCCCTTAGTTCTACTGGGTTAGTGAGTCAGAGCAAACCTCATGCTGGGTGGCAGGGTCACACTGAGCCGCATGGTGCCTCTCAGGGCTTCTAACTCAGCCCCAAGGACCCTCTCCCAACAGTGCCATTGGTACCTCCCCAAGGGCAGGATCTTTACTAGTTCCTGTTGGAGAGTGGAGTTGTGTCCAAGGTCAGTTGTGCCACCTTGGAAATCAGGGGGCCCCTCTGAGCACCAGGATCCCTGCCACGGCTGGGAATCCACCCACATACTGACGGCTGCCCTTTACTCCGATATGTGCTTGGGACCGTTGTGTTTGTGCTGTTGTTTTTTTCTGAGTCTCATGTACAAAAGATCCATGATGGTGCTGTGGTTTAGATGTTGGGCTGCTAACCACAAGTCAGAGGTTCAAACTCACCAGTCACTCTCTATAGAGTCTCCGTGAGTTGGAATCAACTCGACAGCAGTGGGTTTGATTTTGGGTTTTCCCATGTACAAGTACTTTGTCTCATGTACTTTGGACATATTATCAGGGGGACCAGTCCCTGGAGAAGGACATCATGTTTGGTGGATGGTACACACACACACACACACACACACTGACACCAAGGCTGCAACTATGGGCTCAAACATAGCAATAATTGTGAAGATGGTGTAGGACCAGGCAGTGTTTCTGTTGTGCATAGAGTTGATATAAGTTGGTGCTAACAACACACGTGCCAAGTTCTGACCAGTTACTTGACTCGTGTCCAGACCCAGCCCTCATCCACCTGCCAGTCTCACAAAGGAGACCCATGGGCACTGAGAAACCATCCCTCATGGGGACCATGCCTGGGGGACATATACCAGTCTTCCGCATACCCCTTACCACTCCCAGGCTAGTCCTTTGCAAGTGTGGACCACCATCTCTCCGGCGTTTGACTCCCAGTTCCTGGCTGCCGCAGCGCCTGCCATAGATGTTGGGTTGCCCCAGATACAAGAACTAGATTAGGGGGTGGGTGAAGGATCCGGCTAAGTCAGGGAGCAGAGAGCATGCATCAAGTGGCTGCAGCAACCTGGGCAAAAGCTTAGAGGTGGGACTGGGCATGGCAGCCATAGTGGGTTTGGAAAATTCTGAGTGGACAACAGTCCAGAGGGCTGCCCAGAGGAGCAAGCAGGAAGACTGGGGGCATACTGAGGTCTGGGGAAGTTGGATCCTGGGCCATTGTGGTTGCAGCTTTCTCCAACAAAGTGCCCAGGACTCTGCTCTGAAAGAAGGTAGGTGAGCAGATAGGTCTATGTGATGTGAGTGCATCGGATGAGGCGCAGGGGAGAGGACTGGAGATGAAGGTCGCTGGAAGATAAGAACAAGAGGCAGGAGGCAGACAGGTTCTGATAGACTATGAGGGCCCTGAGGCCCAGCGGAGGTGGCTGGGGAAACCGGAGAGAGGCTGGACGTGACTTTTCATAGGTGAGGTCCCAGGGCGCCACGGTTCTGGTGGGGTCCTGACCAGACCGGGAACCTTAGGGCAGCCAGCTCCGAGTTGTGCCTGACCCTACTGTTTCTCTGGGGCCGGCGGTTTGTGCGGGAGCGCAGCTTCCGGGGACGCTAGGGACGCGCCCCGACGCTGCTATCCTCGCTGCAGGATCTTCATCCCCAAGAAGCACCGGGCACGCTTCGACGAAGTGGTGTCCCAGGGTCTGCTGGGCAAGCTGTGTCGGGCGCGCAGGGCGCAGAACACGCAGCGGCTACGCCGAAGCCGCAGCGAGGAACGGCCAGAGCGCTTGCTGGTGTCCACGCGCGCTAGCGCCCCGCCGCGCCGACCAGACGAGCCGCCCCCACGAAAGGCTGCCTCACTACTGGGTGGCCGCGCTGGCCCAGAAGGCTCTCGCAGGTGCTCATGAGCAAGGGGATGGCGACCTGGGCTGGGGGTACTGCCTTCGGACTTCCCCGGGGGCAGGGAGTAGGACACAGGGTTTCTCCATCCCCTTTGCCCCCTGGACTGGGTACCTTCCCGCCTTCCACCCTGCACCTTCTGTCTTCCCAGGACAGTCCGAGTCTACAAGGGCAACAAGAGCTTTGGCTTCACTCTGCGTGGCCACGGGCCTGTCTGGATCGAGTCCGTCCTACCTGGTGAGGCGTGGGAGGGTGTCCTGAGTCGCCAAGGCTCGGGATGGTGGGGAGAGACCCTATTGTAGGGCTCCCAGGTCAACAGCCCCCTAAGTACCATGGGTCCTGGCACTTTGAGTGTCCCCAGGCCAGTTGACCCATATCATCTCCCACCTAAGGAACTTCTGCTGAGCTGGGGCGCCCTCCTCCAATCTCAGTGTCACTCTGAGTCACGTGAGCCACTTTCTTCATCTAGACCTTCCCCATGGGCACAGGAAGGGCTGAGGGCCCTGCCTGGGTCACTGGAGCAGCCAGGACTAGCCACCACAGATAGTGCTCCCCACCACACACACACAAACACTCAGAATTCCCTGCATTGAGTATCCACTGTGAACTGGGCACTTCCAGCAGACCAGACTCAGAGGTAGACCCAACCCCTGCTATCTAGCTCTTCCATGGGGAAAGCCTCCCCACTCCCTTTGAAATCCTGACATCTCCCAGCAGGCAAAGACTTCACAGCAGGAATCCTTCTCCTTGTCCCTCCAGTGGTGATGATGAGGGACAGGGGGTGGGGTGAGGCTTGTTTCCAGCTGCGGCAGCTCATTCAACTGTAGAATCTTTACCATGGGCAGCGAAGTCTGCTGGTGCTGAGCTAAAGTCTCCTTCCTTGTCATGCATTCTGAAAGGGCAGGGTCATATGTCCCCTCCCAGAGTCTAGGGATGGTTCTGATGAGAACCCTTTTAAAGTCCCAGCTGGTGTTGGGTCGTTTCTACACTTCTGCATCTGGCATCTCCAGTGTGTGGGCTTGTGAGACAGGCATCTCTGAGCCCTGGGAAGACCCTTCATTCCAGAGAGTTCCGAGGCCTAGTCCTAATAGCTGGTGTGTACCAGTTCTCCTCCATCTGTACATCGCTAGGTAGCTGAAAAGAACCCCGACTGTTGTAGAGGTTGCTGGTTGGAACAGTTCTACTTTGTGTTACAGGGTTGCTATGAGTCAGAATAGACAACAGCAATGAGGTGTTGGTTTAAAGTGGTTGACAAGGAGCCCTGGGAGCACAGTGGTTAAGTAGTTGGCTGCTAACTGAAAAGTTGCTGTTGAAATCCACCAGACACTCTATGGGAGAAAGATGTGGCGGTCTGCCTTTGTAATGTTGGAAACCCTGTGGGGCAGCTCTACTCTTGTGCATGGGATCACTGTGAATCTGAATCCGCTCGGGGTTAGTGAGGGATTTTTTTGGTTTTGTTTTTGTTAAGTGGTGCTCCCACAGCTCAGTCAAAAGGCACCTTTTCTTCTAGACCTTCCTCTAAAAAAACTACTCTTCTCTCCTTTTGGAATGTGGTTTGTCCAACTGCACCCCAACCTCCCCTCCATCTCCCTATCTCTCCCAAACATGTAACCAGAGACACTTGGCTTATGGCATATTAAAAACCAGGAGTACCTAAGGTAGGGCAGGCGTGGCATGTGCCCTCAGTGCTACTGGCAGGGGGCACCATTGAGTAGTTACTATGAACTGCGAGGCAGCTGTGAATGCTCCACCAGCAAATTAAAATGAATACCTGAGTATTTAAGAGCCTCCAATAGATCTGTTTTGGAAGAAGTGCAGCCAGAGTGCTCCTTGGAGGCCAGGATGGCTAAGCTTCGTCTCTCCTACTTTGGACATATTGTCCAGAGGAAACAGTCGTTGGAGAAGGATGTCATGCTGGGTAGGGTGGAGGGTCAGAGAAGAAGAGGAAGACCTCCAATGAGATGGATTGGCCAGGTGGCATCATTGATGGACTCAGGTGTGGCAGCGGTAGTGAGGTTGGCCCAGGATCGAACATTGTTTCGTTCTGCTGTGCATGGGGTCGCTATGAGTCGGTTCCGACTCGATGGCACCTGACAACAACAACAACAACAAAAGGGTGAAGGGAGACTGTGTAGGCTTCCTCTGCTGGGTGTAGGAAGAGAAGAAATGAAGAAAACAAAAAGATGACATTGGAGCGCATTGTAGACCATTTTTCCTCAATGGAAGCAAGGAAGGCGTAGTTGTGATTTTCATGTGTGAAGTAAAAGGTGAGCGAACTTGACTGGTATGTTGCAGCTCATACGATGATTGTTATTGTTCTCTAAACGATAGGGGTCAGGTGTCTGGATCAGGTTGCAACTTTCGTGCCTGCCATAGGACACCTGATGTGGCACTGAACTATGAACTACACAGTCAGCAGTTCAAACCCACCAGTTGCTCCTTGGAAAACCCTATACAAGGTTGCTATGAATCCGAACTGACTTAACAACAAGAACAATAACAAAGGCACTATTTTTCATAGATAAACTTCTGCTCAACTCCCACCCTCTAGGCTGTCTGTTGTGTGAGGCCTGCAGTGGCAGAATCAAAGGAGAACTTACATGGGGGCTTCAACAGATGGGGAAACTGAGGCTAAGAGAAGTGCTGGTAAATCACAGATCATAACACGAAGTCCTCTGATTCTGGTCCACTGGTGACTAATCCCCAGTCTATCTGCTGAGATAGACTGTCACCACTGTCACCCCCAAAATTCCACCTTCCCTAACTAATCATTCTCACTTCTCTCTGGACAAGGCCTCGTCTTCGCAAACCTGGCAGCTTCAGGAGAGAGCCCTTCAGCACCTGTGGTTGTTGGGTGCTGTCGAGTTGATTCGAACTCAGAGTGGCCCCATGTGACAAAGTAGAACTGTCCCATTAGGTCTTCATGGCTGTCATCTTGACAGGAGCAGATGGTCAGGGCTTTTCTCCTGTCGAGTGGCTGGGTAGGTTCCAACCCCCAACCTCTGGGTTAGCAGCTGAGTGCTTAAGCATTGTACCACCAGGGCTCCTTTCACTTCCCCCAGACTAGTGTCCAAACAAATTCAGTGACTATAAGTAAAAGCACTTGTTATAAACATGGTCAGAGAACTAGAGAAAACCTATTTAAATAATTAAAAGAAGGTGTGACTGATAGGATAAATGTAAAGCTAATGTTCTGTCACGTAAACTATCACATAGTTTACAATAAAACATTAAAAAAAAAAAAAAAAGTGTGAGGGTGATGGTTCGAATCCTCACCTTCCATGTAGGAGAACCTAGTTTAATATCAGCCAATGCATCTCACGCAAAGCCTGTCAGAGGACACTTGTGTGTTGCTGTGATCAGGAACTTCCAAACTAAGGTGAACTAGGAAGAAAGGCCTGGCAATCTGCTTCTGAAAATCAGACAATGAAAACCGTAAGGACCACAAGGGTCCAATCCACAGCCAGAAATGGAGACGACACAGGATCAGGCAACATTTTGCTCCATTGTGTGTGGGATGGCCATGAGTTGGGGGCTGACTTGATGGCCGATAACCACACAAATAAAGGAGGCAGAAAGTCACCCCACTCCACCCCAGGTGGTAGCCAGGTGGTAGGTCTTACCTTCAGAGCCAATCAGGTGAAGACTGAAGATTTGCTGTTCACACGTGTCCCAGCATGAGCCCTGCTCTAGGCTGTCCCATGTTTTCCTGGTGAGAAACTAACTGAGGATTGACTCAGTGATTGGGGCCACGGCTGTGTGGGGCTCGGACTCTTCTGCAGGTAGGGAGATGGCGCTGTCTTCAGCCTTTGCTTGTCACTGCTCTTCTGCAGCAGTTGGGGGACCTGAGCACTGTGGCCATCATGTCTGGAGTGACCCCATCCCTGCCCAGGGATCCCTTCCTCCTTAGGGCATCGGAGATCAGATAGGTGCACGGACTACTGAAGGGGTCTACCGATCTGAATTTGACTCTCCTCTGCCCCCATCACTCACCTATAAAGCAGGAACTCAGTGTCCAGCTCCCAAAGGGAAACTGACAGCCACGTTCTCTCTCCTCTTCAGGGAGCCCAGCTGAAAATGCTTCCCTCAAGTCGGGGGATCGGATACTCTTCCTCAACGGACTAGACATGAGGTCAGAGGCCATTGGTGACTACAAGTTTGGTGAAGAGCTATCCTCCAAGCCCCTTGCTTCTTGGGACCTCCAGACCAGGATCCCCATCTCCTCTAATCCAGAGGTCCCCAAAGACTGTCCCTCTACTTACAAGGACTCTGAACCCACCTCCCACTTGAGCAAGGCCTCTCAGTCCATTCTTCCCACCAGAAAATACATTTAAGGTCCATGTGTCCATGTGCTGGGCTGGGGATACAGTTGGGTGGACCATTAGGGGCTTGCCTGGGGGATGTGAGCTGAGCTGGCCCCAGGTCTGGGCTGCCTCTCCTGGCCCTGCTAGGGAATTGCTGTGTGGCCTCTGCCCACTGGGCAGGGTGGTCTGGGGGGGTGGGGGTAGGGGAGGGCAGGGCTTATTCCTGCAGGCCTTGATGGGACGTCTCTGCTCTTCAGGAACTGCTCTCATGACAAGGTGGTGTCCATGCTGCAGGGCAGTGGTGCCATGCCCACGCTGGTGGTGGAGGAGGGACTTGTCCCGTTTGCCAGTGGTGAGACCCCCCCACAATTCTAGCTGACTGTTACAGAGACAAGCAGAGCCCCAAGGGGTGGGGTGGGTGCATGCACAGAGCACCTGGTGTCTGCAGAGGGCGCTGTTCTCCTCTACCCCTTCATTTCCCTTCTTAGGGCTCCCAGAACTCTGCCTGGGGCTGGAAGGAAAGCCCTAGGCAGAAGAGGGTGCCTCCCAGAGCACAGCCCACCACCAGAGGGCCTCTTGCCAGCCCCAGGGAAACCATACCTGGGAGCCATGGACCACCTATACTTCCCCAACCTGTGCTCCCTGCAGACTCCGACTCACTGGACTCCCCCAGCCCTTCATCAGCACTTACATCGCTGCAGTGGGTGGCAGAGATCCTGCCGTCCAGCATCCGTGTCCAGGGGAGGACCTTCAGCCAGCAGCTGGAACACCTGCTTACACCCCCTGAGCGCTATGGGGTCTGCCGGGCCCTCGAGAGTTTCTTCCAGCACAGGTGGCCAGACTAGCAAGTGGATGGGCCCCAGCCTCCACCAGGGATCCCTGTCTAACCCTCCTTGACCCCTTTCTCCTGGGGTGTGGTCTAAGAATGTGGCAGCTGGTGTCAAGGGCTACCTGAGAACAAATCCTAACTCTGACACTTCCTAGCCAGGTGACTCTGGACAAGTGCTGCAACCTCCTGTGTAATATGAAACAGTGACTTGTTAATTCTTTGTTGATTTTAGATACTATACTTCTGTTTATAGGGGCGCTATGAGTATAGGATCCTTTGTGGTACAGTGGGTTAAGCACTTGGCTGCAAACCAAAAGGTCAGTGGTTCAAACCCACTAGTTGATCCTTGGGAGAAAGATGAGGCAGTTGGCTTCCATAAAGATGAACAGTTCTGCTTTGCCTTGTAGGGTGGCACTGAATTGGAATTGACTCGATGGCACACAGTAACTTCCGTTACAACTTCTGTTACATTAATTTGTCTAAATTGGGCTTCTTTGAACAGATACCCTTACTTTTGTATAATCAAATTTTCCATATTTTGAACCGTATGGTTTTGTGTTTTGAAATTTTGGGAAAGAAGTCTTTCCCTGCCCCTGGAACCAAAGGTATTTTTCTCTAATTAACTTTAGAAGTTTATTTTTTTCACCCATTTTGGTCTTCTATTCACCTGAAGTTTGTCTTGATGTGTGTTATGATGTAAGGACCCTGTCTATTTCCATGTAATACAGGAGTTGAGGAGCCCTGGTGGCACAGTGGTTAAGTGCTCAGCTGCTAACTGTGAGTTTGGTGGTTCTAATCCATCAGCTGCTCCTTGGGAGAAAGATGTGATGGTTGGCTTCTGTAAAGATGCAGTCTTGGAAGCCCTATGAGGCGGTTCTGTTCTGTTTTATGGGCTTGCTGTGAGTCAGAATCGGCCTGACAGTAGTGGGTTAGATGCTGCACAAGTCAGCACTCTTTCTGTAGAGTCAGCTGCTCAGTGTCTGACATGACTCTATATATGAATATAAGCAGCTGGCATGACTGTGTGCCAATAAAACTTTATTGACAAGACAGTGGGCCAGACTTGCTGACTGTCCATAGCTTACTCATCCTTCGTATTCAGGAACCAGTTGCCACTGAAACAACTCTGACTCAGTGTGACAACCCCCTCCTCCCCCTGCATGTCAGAGCAGAGCTGTGCTAGATAGAGTTTTCAGTGATTGAAGTTTCAGAAGTGGATTACCAGGCCTTTCTTCTGAAGCACCTCTGGGTGGACTCAAGCCTGCAACCTTTTAGTGTGCAGCTGAGTGTGTTCACCATTTCCACCCCCACAAATGGTATCCTTGATACTTTTGTTAAGTCCTGTCAAGTTGGTTCCTACTCACAGCGACCCTGTTTCCGAGGCGCAGCTAGTAGGTTTGAACTGCCCACTTTGCAGTTAGCAGCCCAGTGCTTATTCTATAGTGCCACACCAAGACTCTGTCCTTGATATAGTCAGTCAGTTTTCCCAATAGTCTTTATCCAGTTTAGCTTCACAACTCTGTGTGGTTGTTGTTGTTGTCGGTACCGACTCATAGCGACCTTATGCACAGCAGAATGAAACACTGCCCGATCTGTAGGTGCCATTTTTATCCCCATTTTACAGATAAGGAACTGAGGCACCGAGAAGTTAAGTAACTTGAGAAAGGTCACTTAGCTGGTAAGTGGCGGAGCTGAGGTTTGAATCCAGGCAGCCTGTCCTCAGAGCTGCACACCTGTCTATATCTCTGTCCTGTATGGGGTGGAGAGGGGAGCAGGAACCCGGATTCCATGGCCGGGATATGTCCCTTTGTCCACCCCCATCCTCCCCTTCCGTTGAGCCCCTGAGTGATGATCCACCTGCTCTGGTACCTCCCTCACCCAGGAACATCGATACCCTCATTGTTGATGTCTACCCTGTACTGGACACACCTGCCAAGCAGGTCCTCTGGCAGTTCATCTACCAGCTGCTGACGTATGAGGAGCAGGAGCTGTGCCAGGAGAAGATTGCATGCTTCCTGGGATACACGGCCATGACAGGTGACCAGTGATGCCTGCATGCCATGCAGATATGTGGGGCTTCGGATCGTTCCTGGGAAAGCTCCATGATGTTTTGATTCGTTTTTCCCATGTACATTTTGAATTCCCTTGACACACATCACAACACATGGACCTGACTTTTAGGCAACATAACCTTTGACTGTCACCCCCTCACTTTCTGGGGTCTGGGTGTTCTCACCCACAAAATGGGTGTGATCGCAGTCCCCATCGCAACCATTGGCTATGCTACGACAGAAACCAGCACACAGGCAGGCCACCTGTGGTCCAAAAGCACACGCAAGAATCTCAGTTCTCGAGGCTGTCCACTGCTAACCACCTGGTAACACAGAGTTCAGCCAGCAGCGCACCATACCCTTGAGATAGTGAACCTAGTAGGTGCCCACAAACTAGGCATTTTCTATTTCAGGCCATGTGAGACCACAGTATACTGAACCTAGAATCTTGCTTTTTGCTACTTTTAGAAATACACAGAACATTCACCAATCCAGCCTTTTTTACATGTACAATTCAGTGACATTGATTCTATTCTGCTAGTTGAATTGTTCCTCTCCCATTAACACAAACTCATTGCCTCCTATGTTCCTATCTAAGCTTTCCAGTCTGTCAATCTCATCCCAAATAGACAAATCTTAGGAGAGCATAACAACGCTCAAGGCAGACATCGTTAGTTAAACTAAATGATTGTTTGGTTTTCAGTAGGCTTAGGGGAATATTTTTGGTTTAAGATTTAAAAATTATTTCAGGGCAATAGTTTCACAGGTGCATTCAGTCTCCATGACTCCAGTAAATTTAGAATCCATGAGAATTTTATATTCTGTTCTGCATCACCCACACCTTTTGGTCAGGATTTACCGATAGAATCTTTGACCAAAATGTTCAGTCATGATAGCTGGACACCATCCAGCTCTTCGGCTCTTATAGCACACCAAAGTCATATTTGATTTTGATGATCTAGAGGATGAGATTTGGGATTTAGGGTTGATGATGGAATGGGATAAGACTTTGGAGATGATGTGTTCTGTATGGGGGAAGGACATGAATTTTGGAGGGATCGTGTTTCCCAGGAATATGTGTTGTAAATCCTAATTCTCACATGTGCACATGTACTCCTTTAGGAAACGGGGTTTTCTTTGTTATGACAAGGTTTTGACCCTGTTGTAGGTGCTCTGTGCCTGTTATGTCAAACCCTGTAGACCTACTATGTGCAGGCCCGTGTGTGCCCACTGCCCTCATTCCTGGGATTCACAATTTGCTAGGGAAGGCCAAAGGTTTTAGTAAGTAGCTCAGGTCCCAGGCTGCATAGCAGAAATCTGGGAACTTTCATTTCACCCCACAAGACCCTATGGGCAGCAGTATAGGCCTGAACCAAGCATGGGATGTCGAGACCCTGGAGGCCTGAGGGCCCTAGCCTCTTGTCCTGGGAGAGGCCTTGTTGGGTGGGTTGTAGTTACCCCATTCAGGCCTTGTTCCTTGGGCCAGCTCCACTGGAGTGTCCCTCCTGTTTCTGCTGCTGGTTTCTTGTCCCAGGGCTCTCACAGAGGTAGGCAGCAGTTTCTCCCATCATCCTCCTGTGTTTGAAGCTGCTTGTCTATTGAGAGAATAGGGGAATTGATTTCCCTGTATATACTCCAGTAGAACCCGAGCCGGAGTCAGAGCCTGAGCCGGAGCCAACACCTGAGCCACAGCCTCGCAGCTCCCTGAGGGCTGCCTCCATGTGTCGCCGCAGCCTCCGAGCCCCAGGGCTGGACACCAGCCTGGGTTGCAGTAAGAACTGGACAGAAGGCAGGAGCGGGGCGGGAGGCCTTGGATGAGACTCTTTTCTCACCTGTAAAGTGTGCTTGGTGAAACGCGGAATCTCAGGGGTCAGGGGTGGCCCCCAGGGCTGTGAGGAGCCAGACTTTTGAGTCAGGAGTGGGACTAAACACCAGTGACAAACCTGCCACCCTCCTCCCCTTTGATTCCAGCAGGTCCCATAGACTGCCCTGAGATGCCTCTTCCTCTGGTTCCAGGCGAGCGCCAGGCAGGAGACGGCACGTCCCTCCCTGAGACCCCAAACCCCAAGATGGTGAGACCCCTTCTCTATGTCTTCCTGGTGGGACCACTGGAGGTACAGTCCAGAGACCTTCCCTGGAGATCTGCTCCAATCTGGGAAGAACCTAGCCCTACAGACCACCCAGGCCTGAACTAGACTCATCACCACCTTCCACAGATGTCCGCAGTCTACGCAGAACTCGAATCCCGACTGAACAGTAGCTTCAAAGGGAAGAGAGGGACCATGTCCAAGTCCCGGGCCTCCCCACCAGTGTCCAGTTCAACAGGCACCGCAGGTAGGCTCCATCCCTACTCCAAGGACCAGCAACCACTCTGTCCCTTGACCTCAGAAGCCTTCATGCCCTTCCATGTCCTGTGATCCTCCTGCCCCCAGAGAAGACCCCCAAGTTCGTGTGTGGTGGGTGTGTCGCTTTGTGAACAGCACAGCTAGGAAAATGTTGGTTGCTGGCAAGATGGATGGGGGCGGAAGGAGCCTGGGAGAGGCTCCTATGAGACCACAGGGTTACATGAGGCCAGGGTTTCTAGGATGTGGGAGGTGCCTCATTGTTCTTGGTCTGGGGTCTGGGGTTGGCCCCTCACCCCCTTCAGTGGGTGGGAGGCCTGAGCCAGGTGACAGGTGTTCCCTGCCCCTTGCCACATCCAGGAAGATGAGGCACAGTGGCCTAGGACCTTCCTGCATGTGCTCAGTGAGGGAAGGGGGTGCCCAGCACACCAAGCCAGCTGCCTTGGGCCCCTCCTATCCTGCCTCCCCCAGAGTCCAGGTACTGGCTGAAAAGAGTCCTCACGCTCAGTCCCCCACTCCAGGACCCAGGACCGTGTCCAGCGTCTCATGGTCCAGCGAGCGGCTGCTGCCTTCCCCCTGCTACTACCCACTGTGCTCAGGGGGCCCGGCCTCCCCCAGCAGCTCCGAGTCCCACCCCTACGCCAGTCTGGACAGCAGCAGGGCGCCCTCCCCACAGTCAGGCCCTGGGCCCACCCACCCTGACAGCCCCCCTAGCCCAGACCCTGCCCGCCTGCCCAGCCGCAGGAAGCTCTTCGCCTTCTCGCGGCCGGTGAGGAGTCCAGACACAGACCGCTTCCTGGATGCTCTGAGCCAGCAGCTGGGTCCCCGGGTCACCACCCTGGATGACTTCCTGAGCCCGGAGAACGACTATGAGGAGGTGGGCGTGCAGGCTAGGCGGGGAGTGAGGCATGGTGTGGGTCCTCCAAGAGCAGCCCCAGTCTGACCTATAATCTATCTTAGCCACCCCATTCCTTGGACCACATCACCTGTCCCAGCCTAGCCCCCTTTACTGGCATGATCTCAACCTTTGCCCAAGGCTAAGCCATAGACTCTGCCTTAGGTTACCCAACTCTTTGTCCCTTGTTCCAGGTTGCCTTACATTTGCTCAGACAAAGCCACCATGTCTTCTGCCCTTTCCTATCCAGGCTACCCCATACACCCTGTCTCAGGGTACCCCTTCCTTGATCTCAGGCTAGCCTGTGTTCTCTCAGGTTGTTTCAGACCCAGTCTTAGTCTAACCCACCAGATAGCCTATCTTTACTCTCAGGCCAAGCTACCCCTGCCCCAGGCTACCCCATGACACACACACAAGCGTTGGTCTCTATCTGGGCCCTGTCTCATCCACCCTGGCCTTGCTTTCCCCCACCCCAGATGAGCTTTCACGAAGACCAGGGCAGCTTCATCACCAACGAGCACAGCAGTGCCAGTGAATGTGTCAGCAGCAGCGAGGAGGGCAGCTCCTTAACATATTCCTCCATCTCTGACCACATCCCTCCGCCCCCACTCAGCCCTCCGCCCCCGCCACCCCTGCCCTTCCACGACCCCAAGCCCAGTTCCCGAACTTCTGATGGTCCCCGGGGCTCTGCTCAGGCACTGGCCAAGCCCCTCACCCAACTGAGCCATCAAGTCCCTCCACCACCCCCACCGCCCCTGCCCCCACCGGTGCCTTGTGCACCCCCGCTGCTGACCCGAGGCCTGGGCCACCGCCGCAGTGAGACCAGCCACATGAGCGTCAAGCGCCTGCGGTGGGAGCAGGTGGAGAACTCGGAAGGCACCATCTGGGGTCAGGTAGGTGACTGAGTCCCCAGATAGTGTCCCATGTGTGTATTGTGACCCAGGCAGCTGTGTTAAAAACAAGAGCTATCCTCCAGGCCTCATCCTGCATCAATCCTGATATCCTCTGGCCCATGGGCTCCTCTGTTAAACTTTCAGTGGCTGCCCCAGGCATTGCAGCCAACCTGCCTTTGGCTGTGAATTGCTAAACCCAATCTGTGTCCCTGAGCTAAAGACACACTGGGGACACCTAGAAGTGCCCCTCCACTCACCCTTGAAGTTTATCTATCTTGAGGCCTAGTCAGTTCCTGTCAGAACTTAGAGCCAAGAGAAGAACATCTGGTTAGAAAATTGTGGGTCTGCAACTGTCCAGTCTTTTACCATGAGTGGTTCATTCACAGGAGCCAAGACTAGGATTCTTCAAGGGCAGTAGGTCTAAACACCCCACTCCATCTTCCACCCTCAAACAGTATTACCAATATGTACTCGAATGCTCTGAGTGATGGGGAACTCACAACCTATCAAGAAAGCCCATCCTTCTCTGGAAAGTTACAACCATCCTTTCCTGTATTGATCTGAAAGTTTTTCTCCCCATGATTCCCATGCCCTCTTTCTGCCCTGGATCTTGAAACCACACACAGCAACAGTACTCCCTAATCCACAGACCAGCCTGTCAGATGCACAAGATTCTACCACCACCTCATTCATTCCTGTTGTTTAGATCATTCCTCTAGAGCAGGGGTGGGGAAGTCCCCACAGGCCATATATTATATTGTTGTTAAGGGTCATCAGGTCAGTTCCGGCTCATAGCCACCCTGTATAGGGTTTCCAAAGAGCAGCTGGTGAGTTAAAACCACTGACCTTGCAGTTCAAACCGACCTTGCGGTCCAGTGCATTAACCCACAGTGCCACACCAACACTCCACAGGCCATATGTTGTTGTTAAGTGCCATCGAGTCGGTTCCAACTCATAGCGACCCTGTATAGGGTTTCCAAGGAGCAGCTGGTGAGCTTGAACTGCCAACCGTGCAGTTCAAACGGCATTACAGTCTGGCTCATTAACCCACAGCGCCACACCAGAACTCCTAAGGCCCACAAAATCATTTGGTCTGGCCCTACCAAGGCAACCACAGTTCAGCCGTCACATTAGGGGTGAGTTCATTCAATGTTTGACCAAATATAGCAGGCTAATTTTTAAGTTGATAATTTTGTTTGGTCCATGAATAATTCTATACATCTTGGTGGAAAAATGTTCCCCACACATGGTTTCCAGTGCCAAAGTCCAGTGTCCAAAATCTTGCCAAAGGACAAACCCCAAATGGAACTTGACTGTGTCCCCCATTGAGGCTTGACCAATGCAAAAGAGAAAACAGTTTTTTCACCTTCTTTGATCTGGACACCATACTCCTTTTAATATGACCTGGGATCTCTCTAGCTTCAGAGCTTCCCCATCCCAGTATTCATACCCACTATCGTCCTCAGCCACAGTGCTCTTATCTTCTTGGAACCAAAGTTTACCTTTACATGCAGCCACACTACATTTCTTCTGGTTGCCAGCTCCTGGTTCCTGGGTCTGGCTCCATCCCTCCCAGCAAGTTGTCATCAGTCCACATCTCCTGGGAACCATTCCATCTTCTTGTTAAAGATGCTCAGTAGGCCACAAACAGGGATCTACCAGGTCTCCCCTGGTGATCTTACATCTCTCAATCTCAGATAGGCTGTCTTTGAACCTTGTAGTTACTGACAGTGGATACAGGGTTTATGTATCTTGCCAAGTCCAAATCCACGCTAGACAGCCCTGCCTTGCAGCCGTGTTCTGAGGCTTGGTTTCAATGATTCTTTATTCTCCCTTTGGATCTCCCCCTTGGCAAGACCTCCATACCAGTCCCCAATGGTCATTCCAGATTGTAACTTCTTATCCAAATCATTAATGAAAACCACCTGTTCAGCTTCCAGCCCCCGAGGCTTTCTCTGCTTTGGTCTCCTAGCACCAGCTCGTTCTGCCAGGGCAGCTCTACTGAATTAATTTCCTACAAAGGAGACCTCAAAACAGGGCCAGATCCTGCGGCCCCTTCCTCAAGCCCTCTTGGTTGACTTCAGCCTCTTTCCAGCCACACTTTCTTCTGCTCCTGGCTTCTGCCTGGATAGTGTTCCACATGTGTATGTATTGTGGACCACAAAGGGAGACTGAGTTGTGGATGACTAGCTTCTCCTGAAGTCTCCTCCTATCCCCGGCTTCATCCCAGGGCCTGATGAGAGTGCGTCCTCTGGGAACACCCAGGGCAGCCCTTAACGAGTGGGTGGGGTGGGGAACGGCAGTCCAGCCACCACTGTTGCTTCTTGCTATTAATCTCCCTTCCTCTCTTGAAGCTCGGGGAAGACTCTGACTATGATAAGCTGAGCGACATGGTGAAATACCTCGACTTAGAACTACACTTTGGCACCCAGAAACCTGCCAGTGAGTGGCCTGATGGTGCTGGGGGGGACCCTGGATACCAGGACGCCTTCTGAGGTTTAGCATTGACACTAGGAAACCACCCCCCATGAGATGGATGGACTCAGTGGCCACAACACTGGGCTCAAACATAACTGTGAGGATGGCGCAGGACAGAGCAGTATTTTGTTCTGTTGTACGTGGGGTCACTATGAGTCGGAAATGACTCAATAACAAGTTGCCGATGCATTTTCTTGCTGTGCTCCTGTTTCACTTTGTGGAGTCTCAGTTTTCCCATCTCAAAGCCGTGATCATACTAATGATGGCTGGCATTCATAGCATGCATAGCAAATGTCAGCTGCTTGCCTTTCTAAATCAATCCCCATGACAGTTCTATAAGATGGGTACTGTGAAAGCACAGAGAGACTGGGCCATTTGCTCAAAGTCACATCACCACAAAACGGTGGACAGGAGGCGTCTCTCTTCTCACTGGGTCTGGATGTCTCCTCATAATTGTTGGGTGGGGCTCCAAGCAGCCAGGGATACTTTGTGTGGCTGATGGGAGGTGGAGGAAGAAGGCCCGTGTCCAATCAGGAAGCATTTGAACAGTTGAGAGGTGGTTGGCTCTGTGGCTTTGCCAGTTCATCCCAAGGATTTAGGGGAGACAGGGCATTTGAGAAGGTGGAAGTGGGGGGCATGCATGGCACGCAAGCCAAGTGTTTGACTAGACCTGGGAATCCACCAATGGGAAACTGAGGAATGAGGGGAGTGTAGACATCTGGATTTGGTCCCTGCGTGGTGGAGTAGGGGGTGGGTCTGACCTTTGGCAGTGCCTCCAGCCGCCTCCAGGGGCCAGGCTGTGGCCTTACTACTCTCCCCAATTCCTCCTCCCCACCTTCCAGCCTCCCTCCCTCTACCCGCTAGTGTCTTTTCCAGAACCGGTGCCGGGACCCGAGCCCTTCAGGAAGAAGGAGGTGGTGGAAATCCTGTCCCACAAGAAGGCCTACAACACCTGTGAGGGCCAGGGAGTCCTGGGGTTGGTTAGGGATGCAAGGCAGCCACAGAGCCTGGCATCAAGCCATGGGGAACTAACACCTGCCACTTGTGGGCAAAGGCTTCCCTCCCGTTCCCACAGCCAGTCAGACCCCACATGGGCACAGGTGTCGCCTTGGCTCCAACCCTTTGTGCCTTAAGCCCCTCTCCCCTCCTGTTCTGACCTGGCTTCCAGTCTTTTCCTCTACGCTCCCACTGTCAGACCCCTACTTAAGTCCTTGGCCCCACAGGGCCTCTCCTTTATTCGGTCCCTGGAAAGACCCTTTCCATCCCCGACCCACTCCTTACGGAGCCCATCGCAGGCCCCGCCCAGTTCCTGGCTCACTCTCAGGCTCCCTAAAGGACCCTAGGTCGATCTCGAAGCCCCTCCTTATCGCCCTCCAAGGCCCCGCCCCCTGACACGGCCCCGCCCCCGCAGCCATCCTCCTGGCACATTTGAAGCTGAGTCCCGCGGAGCTGCGCCAGGTTCTCATGAGCATGGAGTCTCGGCGCCTGGAGCCCGCGCACCTGGCGCAGCTGCTGCTCTTCGCGCCCGACGCCGACGAGGAGCAGCGCTACCAGGCCTTCCGCGAAGCACCTGGCCGCCTCAGCGAGCCCGATCAGTTTGTGCTGCAGGTGCAGTCAGCAATCTCGCGTTCACGTCTCCGGGAGTCAGTTTCCCTGAGGTCCCGGGTAGCTGGGATCAGCGCGCCCCCTCCCGGCTTCTGTGCTGCTTGTTCGGAAGGGAACTCCGGGCCCAGGGCCATGACCCTGGAGGGATTTCAGGTTTGTGGTGGGGCAGCGAGTCTCCTGGCCCTGGAGAGATGACTCCTTTCCCTGCCTTCGCTGCAGATGTTGTCGGTCCCCGAATATAAGACCCGCCTGCGCAGCCTCCACTTCCAGGCCACCCTGCAGGAAAAGACAGAGGAGATCCGCGGCAGCCTGGAATGCCTGCGCCAGGCCTCCCTGGAGCTCAAGAACAGCCGGAAGCTCGCCAAAATCCTGGAGGTCAGGGCTCAGACCTCCCAGACACCCTCCCTGGAGGGGTGGGCGGCCATGTGAGGACCTGGGCATCACCCACCCACTTTCCTCTCCACAGTTCGTGTTAGCCATGGGCAACTATCTCAACGATGGCCAGCCAAAGACCAATAAGACCACGGGTTTCAAGATCAACTTCCTGACAGAGGTGAGGAGTGATCTCACAGAGAGACCTAACCGGAAACCAGCATGACCAATAAGGCCCATGGAGGCTGGGATGTAACTTGCATCATAGGTGGGGCAGGGGTTTATTCAAGCCAAACCTTAAACCAAACCAAACCAAATCAATTCATATTGGTCTGGCTCACAATAACCCTATAGGACAGAGAAGCGCTGCCCCATACGATTTCCAATACTGCAAATCTTTACGAAAGCAGAGTGCCCTTTCTCCCAAGTAGCAGCTGGTGGATTCGAGCAGATAGTATTTCTCCTTTTTCTTAACTGCCGAAGAACATTTAACCACTGCATTGCCAGGGATCTTTAAGCTATGCTTTAGGATCTGGAAAAATGGAGGGGCAGGAAGAGAAGGAGAAAACGGAAAGCCTTTTCTCCTGGAGCCTCCACCGCCACTACCATGGTCATCAGTCCAGTCCAGCCTACTCCAGAAAGATCTAGAGTCAAAGAATATTTTTGTAAAAAAAGAAGAAAAATTCCATTTGTCAATATGAATGGTTTATTGGCGGTCCCAGGCTCAGATTGGCTGTAGATGGTCCCAGAAAACCATAAGAGGAGAGACATGTGAATTACAGTCAGAGCATCTTGGGCTGTAGCATTTGACAGGGACAAGCTCAGCAGGACAGAGAAACGTGGGCCTGGTTCCTGGGGATCGCAAAGATCTAGACCCATGTGATTAGATGAACAGTAGCAAACAGTTTATGAACTGGGGGCAAGAGGGACGGGGATGTGGAAAGAGAGTGTTGAGGATCCAAACTGAGGTCACAGTCTGGGAGACCCTGAATCTGTGTAATCTGTGATGGGGAATGTGATGGGACCCTGAGGACGACGTATGCTGGGGCTCATTTGCAGCTGAACTCCACCAAGACGGCAGATGGGAAGTCCACCTTCCTGCACATCCTTGCCAAGTCACTGAGCCAGCACTTCCCAGAACTCCTGGGCTTTTCTCAGGACCTGCCCACCGTGCCCCTGGCTGCCAAAGGTAGGCTGGATGGATGGATGAGCACTGCCTTCCCAGTTTGGGGGGGCATCCCCATGAAGCCTCTCTCCCCTTCCCCACAGTGAACCAGCGGGCCCTGACCAGTGACCTCGCTGACCTCCATGGCACGGTCCGGGAGATACAGGCCGCCTGCCAGAACATGGCCCCCTCTAGTGATGACAAGTTCGCTGTGGTAATGGCGGTATCCTTCAGCAGGGTGGGTCCTTGTTTGGTCAGGTGGACATAGTACCAGTGGCTACTGTTGACCTAATCTCCCAGCAGAAGGTCTGGGCCGAGGCAGCTGTACACCCAGGGGTCCTGGGAGAAGGGTCTTATGCCAAAACTGTGTACAGTGGATGCTTGGCCTGCCTATCCTCCTGGGTGGTTGAGGCCCAACTGAGACCACAAGGCATCAGGACAGGCATGTTAGGCCTGGCCAACTAGAGGCATTCAGAGGAGGGGCCTGTCCCCACTGAGATTCCCATGGGCCCCCTGGAAGGCGAATACCACCCTTGTGCTGTTACAGCTAAAGATAAGGAAGGAGGGCACTAGGAACTGTGCTTCTAAATCAGGGCAACAGCCCCCCACCCCCGAAAGTCTCTGTCATCTCTCCCTAACCCCAGAGTATAAGGCCTGCTGGATGTGAGTACAAAGACAGATCTTTGATGTCAAGTCTCTGGAGAAGGACATCATGCTTGGTAGAGGGGCAGTGAAAAAGAGGAAGACCCTCAATGAGATGAATTGACACAGTGGCTGCAACCATGGGTTCAACATAACAACAATTGTGAGGATGGTACAGGACCGGGCAGTGCTTCATTCTGTTGTGCATGTCACCTCGATGACACCTAATAACAATACCTCACCCTCCTTCCATCTCAGACAAGAGACCTTGCAGGACAGCACCGAGCAGACAGTGGGGTTTGTGCCGGGAGCTTCCCACCCCGTCCCTTTCACTCACATAGCCCCCAGATGTTTTACAAGTGAATGTCAGCCCCACCCCATTCTGGCATTCCTCAGTGCTCACCTACCTCTGTGGGTCTGGAGGTCCACAGGGAGAAGGTGGATGGTTATCCAGTGACTGGTCCTGGATGCAGGGGAGCAAGAGTCCCTCTAGGGTGGCCCATCAGATGGGACTGTACCCAAATCTCAACTCAGGTGCTTACTGATATGTGGCATCGGACAAGCCACTCACCCTCTATGAACTCCAGTTTTCCCATCAGTAAAAGGAGAGGCTATTGTGATCATGAATTGATTATGATGCAGATGGATTTGACTCTGGTCCTGATACTCTGTGTGCTGTGTGATCTTGGGCTAGTTGCTAAAGCTCTCTGTGTCTCAGTTTCTTCACATGTCAAATGGGGATAAACTGAAAGTTGTGATGATTAAATAGGAATGTGTAGAGGACTTAGAATAAAGCTTGACACAGCTTGTTGTTATTGTAAAGTGACGTTGAGTCAGTTCTGACCCATAGCGACCCTGTATAGGGTTTCCAAGGAGCAGCTGGTGAGCTTGAACCGCTTACCTTGTGGTTCAAATCAGGTTTGCAGTCCAGCGCATTAGCCCACACCAGGACTTCTGGTACAGCATAAAGTGCTGAAAAAAAAAAGATTGCCCTCCCATCAAAATATATTTTGGAGGCGCTCTGGTAGCATAGTGGTCATGAATTGGGCTGCAAACCTTAAGGTCAGCAGTTCAAAATTACCAACTTTTCTGTGGGAGAAAGATGAGGCTTTCTGCTCCCGTAAAGATTTACAGCCTCAGAAACCCTGTACAGGGTCACTATGAGTTGAAACTGACTCCATGGCACATAACCACCACCACCACTATGAAGGAAGGGAACACGGTGGCTCTGTAGGATAAGCACAGGACTGTAAAAAACAAGGTCAGCAGTTCAAACCCATCAGCCGCTCTGCAGGAGAATGATAAGGCTCTTTGTTCTCGCAAAGATTTAAAAAGCCTCAGGAACCCTATACAGCATCTCTGAGTGGGAATGGAATTGACAGCAATTAACAACTCCAAGGGGCTTCAGAAAATTCATGGAAAAATTCTATTATCTTTTCATTTTATTTTTCTACAAACTTATTGAAGGCCCCTCATTGTACCAGAGAAAGCCTGGCAGTACAGACCTGTTTGAAGTTGACAGTTCTACTACCGGCTACTTCAAGGGAAGAAGGCATGGCAGTCTGCTTCCATTAAAATTCCCAGCCTTGGAAATGTATCTGGGTTAGTTCTGCCCTGTCATAGGGTCACTGTGGAATCGACTCACCAGCAGTGGGCTTGGCTTCTTCTTGGTGGTGGTGATTGTTGTTAGGTGCCATCGAGTTGGTACCAACTCATAGCGACATTATGCACAGCAGAACAAAACACTGCCTGATCCTGGGCCAACCTCACTACTGTTGCCACGCTTGAGTCCATCGATGCTGCCACTTGGCCAATCCATCTCATTGGGTGTCTTCCTCTTTTTCTCTGACGCTTCACCTTATCAAACATATCCTCTCCAGCGACTGGTCCCTCCTGACAATATGTCCGAAGTATGAGAGATGAAGTTTGGCCATCCTGGCCTCCAATGAGCACTCTGGCTGCACTTCTTCCAAAACAGATCTGTTGGTTCTTTTGGCAGCCCGTGGCACTTTCAGTATTCTCCTCCAACACCGTAACTCAAAAGCATCAATCCTTCTATGGTCTTCCTTATTCACTGTCCAGCTTTTGCATGCATATGAGGTTATTGAAAATACCATGGCTTGGGTCAGGCGCACAACATCTTTACTATGTGCCAAATACTGTTCTAAGTGTTGGAAGCACATACAGGGAACAAGATGGACAAGACATTCCTGTCCTTGTCAAGGTTTCAGTTACAGAAAATAAATGGGAATGATTTCAGATGTCCACAGATGCTGTGAGCTAGAGGGTGACAGAACAAAACTAAAAACCAGAGCAATTGTCATCAAATCATCACCTCCAGCTCATGGTGACCCCATGGGTGCCAGAGTAAGAACTGTGCTCCATAGGGTTCCTAATGATTGATTTTTCAGAAGTAGATCACCAGATCTTTATTCTTCAGCACCTCTGGCTGGATTTGAAGTTCCAACCTTTGGGTTAGCAGCACAGTTAGCAACCCAATGCATTAACCGTGGAGTAACACCCAGGCACTCCAAGAATGATAGAGGGGGCTGCTGTAAGTGGGAGAGGAGCAGAGAGAGACACTGGTATCTAAGCACAGTTAATAAAGGAGAGAGCAGTGAGCGTAAGGCCTGAGGCTGGCAGGGTTCAGCAGGTGCCGGGATGGACTTGGAGGGTGATGGGTGGAGCCCAGCAGAGGACTTGACTCCGGCGGACTTCCAGGAGTAGGACAGCCAGGGCACAGTGGGATTCTCAATGCCTGGCTGTTTCCTTGACCTGACGGTCAGTCTTTCCTGGAGACGGCACAGCCGGTACTGCGGGCTCTGGATGGGCTACAACGTGAGGCCATGGAAGAGCTAGGCAAGGCACTAGCTTTCTTCGGGGAGGACTCTAAGGCTACCACCTCTGAGGCCTTCTTTGGCATCTTCGCGGAGTTCATGAGCAAGTTTGAGGTCAGTCTGGGTGGGAGGGCTACAAACCTAGCTGTGGGGGCCCGAGGGTAAATGAGGATCCCTCCTGATGCCCCAGAGAATAGTACTCCCACCCCAATCCCTCACCCTTGTGACCTTGTGACCTGACTCATGACTGGCTAGAGGGGTGAGGAAGGGTGTGTGGGAGGCTCACGGAAGCCCCACGTGTCCCTTTCCCCCAGCGAGCACTCTGTGACCTGCAGACCGGGGACGGCTCACGCAGCTCTGGGATGGTGTCACCCCTGGCTTGGTGATGTCGGCCCTGAGCTTGGATTCAGATACCCAGAGGTCCCATATGGCTGTGCCCCATTGCCTCTGTGGTCCTGCCCCAACCTCATGGAGATTGGCAACGTCCGGGCATGGGCTGAGATGCATAGTCTCCAGCTACCTCGCGGGCAAGCACAGCCCACCGCCCACGTAGGTCTGACCAGAGCTCATCATGCGCTCCCACTCTGGCTGAATCCTCTCCATACCTGTGGGCAGTGTTCTTCGCACCTGGGACGCCTTTGCCCCTTGCCCCGGTGCCTCCTGTGTACTCTCTCCTGCCTCCCTCATCCCCCTGCTGGAACCAATAGGGTGCTAGCTGTGGGCGCCCTCAGAATGGCGGGGGTCTATCAAGGGCAAGCCTCCATCACGTGGACCAAGAAGTGGCTGCTGCCCTGGAAAACATTAACTGTTGGCCCTTGGATGGTTTGGCAACAGTGTGTTAGATCAAACCCTATCCTCCACCAATATCCAACTCCGCCTGGAACATGCAGCATAGCGCCAAGGGGCCATGAAAACCAAGGCCTGAAGGTCCTTCCCTGCTCCAACCCAGAGCTGGGAGGCGGATGTGCAGGCAGAAAGGAAAGGGAAGGGAGAGGCAAGAGGCAGAGAAGACAGGTATAGGGAAGGGTAGATTAGAAACATCCTGTATGTCAAATTGTAGACAAATTTTCATCCAGTGCACAGACTCAAATCCAGTTTAAAGGTAGTCAGTCTCGAGGCAGGGAAACCCCAAGAGGGTAGACGTGATGTGGCAGAGAGAATGGGGAGATGTTTGGGCATTTGGTGGCCTGTTACAGGTTTCTCACTTGAATGGGTGGTGATGATGGTCCCTGGAAAAGATCACCTGAGCAGAGCAGATTCGAGGGTATATGATCCATTTTGCAACTTCTTTGAGATCCCAGAGTATCTGGCTTCCGAAGTGGAGGCTAGGGATACACCAAGGAATTATTTGGATGTTGGGATCAGGTGGAGCAGTGGGCAAAAAAATGGGAGCAGTCTAATCAACCCTGACTCATGGTGCCCCCTTGTGTGTCAAAATAGAACTGTGCTCCATAGGGTTCTCAATGGCTGGTTTTTCAGTAGGTTGCCAGGCCTTTCTTCAGAGGTGCCTCTGGGTGGATTTGAACTTCTGACATTTTGTGTAGCAGTTGAACATGTTAACCATTTGCACCTCATCAGAACTCCTGTGGCAGGGAGGTTGTGTTCATTTGTTTCACCCTTTCCATGCCCTGATCAGCAGATTCCTAAACCAGACAGCTTCCCTGGAACAGGCCTTGGATCCTCTCCTGAATTCTTTTTGTCCCACTACATTGTAACCACTAATGTTGTTGCTCTTCCGGGGTTTGGGATCCATGTAATTCTCCCAATGCCCCTGTTTGAGGCCAAGTGTATTCCTTTCTTTGTTCTCCCCTCTCAGCCACCATATAAAACTGTTGAAACCCAAGTGTACAATTCCAGGGGGAAGAACTTGTACCCAGAGGTAATGAGTGGTGTACATTTCTCCTAGCAGTGCAAACTAGTCATTTTCCATATGTTTCCAAAGCCTGTGTCTCATGAAACGCTTCTGAAGGAAAGTTAAAATCCCTGTGTGAGAGCCATCAGGATGTGATCCCCAGGTGCCAGCTAGCCCAGATGGCATTTTCCTGCAAGTTAGAAACTTGCCCCCGCCAGGTAGATCCAGCTCATGCTAGGGGACACCTCTTGGCAAGCTTTGTATCGGTTATCTGTTTGGCGCAATAATGCTGTATAACCCAGTCCCAAACGACTTCCTGCTCATGATTCTGTGGATCACCTGGACAGTTCCGAGCTGGGCTGGGCTCTGAGTGCTGGCTCATGCACCTGCAGTCAGCTGCAAGAGTCACTCCCACAGCTGGCACCTAAGCTCAGGCAGCTACAGTGGCCTCCTGTGGTCTCTCACCTTCCAGCCAAATAGCTAGGATTGCTCACAAGCAAAGGTACTAGAGGTCTCTGGAGGCTGAGGCTCAGAACTAATGCACTGTCCCTTCCACCGGTCAGCCCAAATTCAAGAGGAGAGGGTGGAGGCTCCTTACCCCTGATGGGAGGAGCTGCAAAGTCACATTGCAATGGAGGTAGGTGCAAGGACAGGTGGAGAATGAGGGCAGCTGATCTGCCTCCTCCTTGACCAGGCATGTTGGTGCAGAGCCCAGATTCTGTAAGACCCTCCGTGGCTTGAGTTGTGCCTGGACCCAGCACTGTTCTGGTTACCCACCTCCATGTGTTATCTGGGTAGCATGTACATCACTCTTTTCTCATCACTCGTGTTATCTGACTCCTCTCCAGATAAACTCAATCCAGTAGGCAGTGGTGGTCTGTACCTGCCTACCAACCAGTCTCCCTGGTTTCCCTCTGGGAAACAACCCCTCCCAACTCCCAGGTCCCAGAACTGTGCTGATAGAAAAGGGGTATCTCCTGACTCTGGGGAGCTCAGAGTCTATCCAAGACTGAAAATAGAACTGCTGGAAAGAGACATCCCACTCCCTTTGGGTGAATGGTTGGATATATCCAGGGTGGAAAGGGGTCCTGGTAGCATAGTGGTCAAGTGCTCAGCTGCGAACTGAAAGATTGGTGGTTCAAACCCACCAGCCAGTCCATGGGAGAATGATATGGCAATCTGCTTTCATAAAGTCTCAGAACCCTCTGGGGCAGTTCTCTGTCCTCCAGGGTCACTGTGAGTTAGAATCCACTTGATGGCAATGAGTGTTTAGAGGGAGGAAACCTGGAGGGGTCAGCCAGGACAGCATGGGGAGGGGGTCCGCCTGGGCATAAAGCCAAAACAGCAGAGAAGAGGAAAGAAGATCCCAGTATTTGCCTCTTTGTGCCCTGGATCCAACTGTACCTGAAGCAGACATCTGGACTTCTCATTTACTAAGCCTACGTATCTCCCTTCCGTTTTAAAATTGCTTTTCATTTTTTGACTCAGACTGGTTTGAATGGTATATTGGTTTCCTACTTCAGCCATAACAAAACAACACAAATCGAATGGCTTTAAACAACACATTTATTTTCTCCATTCTGAGACTGGGAGTCAAGTCTCTCGCCTGCTCTAGGGAGTGATCCGTTCTTGTGTCTTCCATGAGTTGCTACTACATTTTCCTGTTGCCATCTGTTCCCTGAGTCAGTGAAAATGAGGAAGAACCCCAACAAGATGGATTGGCACAGTGGCACCAGCAGTGGATTTAAGCATAAGAATTGTGAGGATAGTACAGGACTGGGCAGTGTTTTGTTCTGTTGTGCATAGCGTCACTAGCAGTCAGCACATTAGGAGTCAGAACCAATTTGACAGCACTTAATAACATCTTCCCCCTGGCTGTCTCTTTATTAGGACACCACTGAGCTGGGAACCAGACCCACCTTATTCCAGCCCACAGTGATCACGTCCACTCTGACTCAGAGGGACCCTGTGGGACAGAGTAGAGCGGCCCCATGGGGTTTCAAAGGCTGTAAATCTCTCTGGAAGCAGACTGCTACAACTTTCTCCCCAGAGCAGCTGGTGGGTTCAAACCACCAACCGTTCACTTAGCAGCTGAGCTACCAAGACTCCTAACCTACTCCAGTAAGACGTCATCTTTTTGTGTGCCATCTAGATGATTCCAACTCATAGAGACCCCATGTGTTACAGAGTAGAACTGCCCCACAGGGTTTCCTAAGCTGTAGTATTTCCAGGAATAGATCGCCAGGTCTTTTCTTCCACAAAGGCAGGTGGGTGTGGTGTGAATCGCTGACTTGTTTAGCAGCTAAGTTCTTAACCACTGTATTACCAGGGTTCCTTTGACCTCATATTAACCCTATTTCCAAACAAGGTCATGTTCACAGGTACCGGGGGCTAGGACTTCACTGTATCATTTTGAGGGGGACACAATTCAACTCGGAACAAATGAGTTTCTGTCACACACAGCCCTCGGAGGGTTGACTGATTCGCTCATGGATAGGTGTTTTGAGATGGTCCACCTGTCAAAACTCTCAGTGAAGTCTCTCCACTCATAATGCATTTGCTATCACTTTTCGAAGAAGCTCTGGTAGCATAGTGATTATGAGTCGGGCTGCTAACCTCAAGGTCAGCAATTCAAAACTGTTCCTCAGGAGAAAGATGAGGCTTTCTGCTCCCATAAAGATTTACAGCCTCAGAAAATCTATACAGGGTCACTATGAGGCGGAACCAACTCCACGGCACATAACTACCACCACCATCAATTTGCAACCTCTGTGCTAGAGCAAAAATGTTACTTTGAAAGCTAAAGAAGTATTTTCACTCACCTCATATGGATGTGAAAACTGGATAATGAATCAAGAAGACCAGAGAAGAACTGATGCCTTTGGACGGTGGTGTTGGTGACGGATATTAAATATACCATGAACTGTCAAAAGAATGAACAAATCTGTGTTGGAAGAAGTACACTCAGGATGCTCCTTAGAAGCGAAGATGGTGAGACTTTGTCCCTAGTACCTTGGACATGTTCTCAGGAGAGACCAGTCCCTAGAGGACATGATGCCTGGTAAAGTGGAGGATCAATGAAAAAGAGGAAGACCCCCCCCCCCCCGCCCCATGAGATGGATTGACAGGGTGGCTGCAACACTGGGCTCAATTGTGATGTGCAGTACCAGGTAGTGTTTTGTTCTGTTGTACATGGGGTTGCTGTGAGTCAGAACCGTACAATCACAACTCTGAGGCAAGCACAGTGCTGGGTTTAAATATATAGCCAGTCTCTCTGAGCATGGTTTCCTGGAGTTATATTTTATGCTGGTTCTACCCCTGCCCCACCATCCCACACCCTTGCCCTGAGTCAATGCAAAGCCCTATAAGTGCACTGCATCCTTCACCCACGCCCACCTTTATCAAAAGATAAAGTGTGAAGCAGCCATCTATGCCCCTGAAACTTATTTCTCTTCCGATAATGAAAAGCATAGCCCAATTATATACCCCTTCCCAAATCATAGCACCAACTCATGTTTGTCAAATGGTAAACTC